TTCCACACATTCTTCGGCCTTGCCGGACTATCGCTGATGAGGCAAAGGTTGGGGGAAGCTGCATGCTGAATGGCCCAAGGAGCTTATCAGTGTATTGGCAGATCACGTTCCTGATTTCGACTTGGGAGCTGTGAAGCGTTACCAAGCTCGTTCCTTCTTTGTGGAGTTCCGGTTTCCTTTTGCGCCTTCAAAAAGCGTCCCAATTTGTCTGCCTCTGGGGGGAGGATTGTCCGCCAAAAGAAAAGGCAGGCTAAGCAAGCTGCGCAGGCGCGCCGAGCTGGCGCCCATCCACTGCGTTTACGCCCTCCCGCTGGAGGAGGGGAGCCGGAGTCAATTCTGGGATCCTTTTGAAGCGTAAGAACAGATCTGGCTTTGCTTGACACGTCCAGAAACAGCATAGAGCTCCTGGGCGTTTGCTGATGTGCTTTTTGCCCCAAGTTTCTTGGATTTGACACTCAGCCAGTTGGTTTCTTGCTAGCAGACCCGGCGGGCATACTGCGCAAGGGCGTGCAGAGCATCTTTAACTACGTCGCATCTGACCCACGCCAGAAACGACCTCTGTCTTTCCACCGGGCCAGTTGCAGGTTTCTAGTCCGTGAGCAGCTACGCGCCAACTTCAACATTTACCACCCCACACAACCACATATGATGTCGCAGCTGCACTCAAACAGCAGGTCGCTGCACTTCAAACACGCATTGTTCTGTAGAAGCTCACGTCGAAAGTTTCAAAAGTGCTTTATGCTTCCCTCAAGTGCTCGGTAAGCCCACATGAGTCAACACAAAATACTGCAATGCAGTCAGTTGGATGCAAGAATGAAGCCAGATGGCAAATTGAATGCCACGCCCTTCTTGATGGGGGGTTCTTCAGGCTCAGCCTTTCGCGTTTTTTTTTGGGAGCACCGCTGGCGCAAGTGCTTGTGGCAGCTGTGCGCTTCTGAACATTCCATTTGGCTGTGGGTCAAAACCCTGTACCCCTGGTGAACATCAAAATAGGTGGTACATGGGTGTTCATCCGCCCCAAAATGAAGGCATACGTTATGACCCATGGCCATTTGACCAGTCGACGCGGCCGTTCGGCCTGGAAATGTCTTTTTTGCCGCGCGAGCCGGAGATCAAGCTGCAGCATTGCCTTGAGCTGGGCCCCTTTGGATTGCCTGCCAGGTGGTGCAGCGCATGCAGTTGCCGCCCATCCTCTCCATCTACGGGCACAGGGCTCAGCGAGGGAAAGGCCCGGCTGGCACCTGAAGAGAGCGCTTGGGACTTGCGATGGGGCGCTTTGTTATCACCAGACATGTACTTTGTTTTTCGTCGCGGGATCAAAATGCGATGCTAGCCTGAAAGTCCTTCGGATGCCGCGCAGAGACTTGGCTCATCTCATGTTGCTGGTTTGCGTCAGCACCTGGACCTGCGGGAGGTTAGTCAGAGGTGTTGGACGGAGATACACCCATCCACTAGCAGGTTCGGATGTGTTTTCCGTGATTGTGCGACCTTGGGAGCAAATGGACCCCCAGGATTGATAGCTCCCTTGGTTGAGCAAGCCCAGATCACTCTTGGATCAAACACCTTGCCAAGAACCTACCAAGTTGATGACATGCTGCAAGGTGAGCCGAGAGTCGCTCGCGAGCTCCTGCGGCGCTACGTGCTGAACAGGCATTGAGAGCTGATTTCGATTCGAGCCAATAGGTTCAAGGAGAAGAGTTCGCGCTGTTGGGCTGTGGCGTTTCATGGGGAAACGCCTCACAGGTGTTCATAGGATCAATTGGAATTTAAATCAATTTGCTGCAATGGGGCGACGCTGGCCTTGAGGTAAATTCCTTCGGTCCTTTGAAGTTAAGAGAGCTGCGCCAGCCATTCGTCCAAAGACAGGTTCAGGGGTCACCAAAAGTGTTCCTACGGTGGATGTGTCAAGCTGCCTCAAATATATTGCAAATAAGGAAACAGGGACACCTTCCGGTTGACTGGGCCCAAAAAGGTCCAAAAGGCGAGCCCACGTAATTTGTGGTTTGAGGCTGTGAAGACTGGGTTGCGACCACTGAGGTACTTTTTGGGGGGTTCCATGTGAATCGGGGGAGAATTGTGTGGTGATGCGAAGGTCTTTCAGTCAGAATGCATCATGCTCGCGTCTGTCCACTCCCCGGACGAGCAAGCCCGAAATTTCGGGTGCCTTGGTTGCACCTTTGCGCGTAACAGTGACCCCAAGGCTTTGGTCAGGATGGAACCAATGGAACCTTGGATCGATGCAACCCAAGTGAAACCGAAGCTGCGTTCTTGGCGTTGATTTATCGCCACACGGGTTGTCTGGTTTTGACGGCAAACCGAGTGATTTCACAATTGATGACAGTTGTGACAGTTGCGACCCACTGAAGAGATGGCTTGCTCTTGGGACACGGCTAGGGCAACACGGGAGTCCTCACATGTCCCGTCTGGGTGATTTGACCGCGTTTCCCGTTGGCGTGGAGATTTTTCAATTGGAGATATGCGGAACCCTGAAGGGATCCAGGGCGCTCCAACCATTCAACTCCAAGGCCATCCGGGACTCGTGGTTGGCGATGGCAGCACTCTTGGTCACAGCATGCAGTGCTCTGCCGACTTCGGTTTCCGTTTCGTGCGTAGCCAGCCTTGGCTTAGAGGCTAGAATACCGGAAATCAGCGCAGGGCTCATGGCTGACACGGTGAGAGCGGCCTGCCTTTTCCTCAGCTGCCTTCTTTTGTGCTCCCTGGGTATACTGCTCGGATACCTGTTGGAAGCGCACGCAGCGAACCCATGGCTTAGTGCTCTCACCTTTGTAGCAGACCTCTTGGTGTCCATGTTCGTCTTCCGCGAGCTCCGCATCACCAGAGGGTCTCCAGGTTTGCCCTGCCAGATGCAGGCGCTCTCTTTTTTGCTCGGGATTGCGGAAAGTCTATTCACGATGGCCATAGTGGGGATGTTTGCTCCAGAGGCCGGTGAGGTTGTAAACGTGATAGCCTTCACGATCATTCTGCCTGTGTGGTACTTCCCACTCCGTTCTGTGCGTGGCCTATTCCTGCTCCCGATGGTGATGACCTATTTTATAGCTAGTGTTCCCGCGGCAGGGCTGTCGGTGGGGCCGTCTGATGCCATGTCAGACTTTTTGACTGCGCTTTGGCTTTCAGCCTCCATAGGCGTGCGGTACCGGAGAGATCAGGAGCTGCTTATGGGATGCACATTAGCACTAGGGATGGTGCCCCCCATGCTGGGGGGGTACCTGCACAAGGAGAAGAAGATTCTTTTGGTTTTGTGGCTCTCTTTAAACGCGGCAGCTGTTTATGTGCTGGTCATCTTCGCTCGCTTCCAGCGGAACTTGCCCTTCGCGGTCCGGAAATGCAGGTTCATACGGCTCGACAAACTCCGGGCCAGGCAAGAGAGCGGCTTGGGCCTTGCGCGCATGCAGGACTTGCCCGAGGATCTTTTCGGGGACGTGAAATACGCATCCGAGGTGATCATCGTATCACACCGCTGGTTGGACAAGTACAACTGCGACATCAACACTCCGGAGCACCCAACGGGGTTTCGCCTCCAGTCGCTCTTGGCCCGGTTGGATGCCATTTACCCTCGATCTTTGAGCCAGGCTCTCAGACATGGTTTGTCTCGTGAGAGTCTGCTATCCATGTGGCGTTCCGTGACCACGGGTGGTGCAGACGTTCTCATCTTCTTGGACTTCGCATGCCTTCCGCAAGAGGTAATGAGAGATGGGAAAGTGATTCCTCGCACGCTTGAAGAGCAAGAGATCTTCCAGGAGGCTCTGCCAGCGATGAGCAACCTGTACGGCACGCATCCAGTCCTGACTTGCCTTGATGTTCCTCAAGACACACATCCTTACTTTGCCAGTGGTTGGTGCTATGCAGAGTTCTGCACCAGCATGGTTTCCAAAAGCCTCTCCCGGTATTCTCAGTCCGCCATCAAGGACTACAAGGACTGGCTCCGGGAGACGAGGAACGGAGACCCCAAAGTCGTCGAAGATCTTGAACGCAACGTCCTGACCAAAGACGGCGTTCAAGCCGTCGTGGACCTTTTCTCCAGGGACTTGGCCAACAAGCACTTCTCCAACGAAGCTGATCGGAGAGTGGTGGACACCATTCTGCGGGCCTACTTGACGAAAAGACTCCTGAGCGATGCCATCCAAATGCAAGACAGGCGAGCGGTTCGAGAGCACTTGGAGCAGCTGGCGATCTTTGCATCCGCTGAGGCGGTGAACGATCCCCTGAATGATAACTTGGATACCGCGCTGCACCTGGCTGTTCGACTGCCCTCCATCGAGATTGTTCAAGACATCCTCGATGCAGGCGGGGACCCCAACAGTAGAAACTGTTTCGGGGATACGCCACTGCAGTTTTTCCTTTTCCCTAGATTAGCGGCGGGCGCCAGCCTGTGTGAGAAGCGCGTTCAGCCGCAGGCCGAGACGTCTGAGGAGTGTCCCTTTTTGTCTGTCTAAGCTATCACCTGGGGCCAAGTTTAAATATGTGCGTGTGGCCTTTTGGTGTTGACATGGCAGACAAAGACATGGCACAGCTTGAATGCTCAAAAAGCTTGCCGAGCGGCGCCAAGCGGGCCCCCATGTTTTGTGGGGAACCCTCACCCGTTTTTGGGTTGTTTAAAGGGATTTTTCCCCCTTTTTTTTTAAAGTCGTTTAAAGGGAAATCATCGGAAAGCCACCACCAAAAGGAATCCACAGGGACACGTCTGGCGCTTCTTGTTGGAAGGGCACCGCCATCAAAGCGCCGGGTAATCGGAGGGACAGCCTGCCACAGGTGAGGGACTCACGGTGAGCCCTTTTCAGTCCTTAGCTTTTGTTTTGACGACTCATTTGTACGAACAAGTGGCAGCATTTCCCTTTCCGAAAGGCGCTTTGCGCGTGGCGGACGCTCTCTCTCATCGACACCAACGGAGCTCCAAGAGGATTTTGATTGCGTCATGTTGTTACTGAGTGCGTCATGTTAGACAGCCACCAGGGGATGGTGTTCGTTTCTGCCAGACTAGTTAGCATCCGGGTTAGCTTTCTTCCATGTTTGCGTTCAAGGAGTTGTCATGCTGATGCAAATTCGCGTGGACGATTCCAGAGCCTGTGTCTCAAAAGCAGGAACCCTCCACATCGGCTGCCCTTCCAGTGGTCCTTGTCCAACCCCCCCCTCCCCTAAAGCTTTCCAGGGTGCTTGAAAAGACGAGTTTTACAGACGAAATCCATTTCGCACCAGCTGGGATTGGTGGTTTATTCAATTATTTACAGAGTTTCATCCATCCCAACTGGTGCAGGATTTTGTCCATCCACAGTAGGGTAAATGACCTTTTTCAGGCTTGCTGTCATCCCCTTTCCACAGACAAACGCCATGAAACCAAGGGGTATGAATCAGGGGTACTTGACCCGGGAGTTACGTGGGTGGCCCAGAAAGTTACCCTTCCCCATGTCCTTGGGGTGACGCCCAGATTCTCGGAGACCATCTTAAGCATGGAGGGTGGTTTGAAGCTCCTTCCCATGACTCATTCCTCAAAGGGCGCACAAAAACCGGATTGCTAGACTTTGTACACTTTGCGAAACAGCAAGTCCAGAACGGGGGCAGCAAAGCAACGTCTTGCGCATAAAGCCTCAACAGTCAAACGGGCAGGTGCCAACATCATGAGAAGCCTCAAGAGAGGAAAAGAGGCAAACACAAGCAAGCAGAGAAGGAAGACGCCTGCTCCTGGAATGGTGAGACGAACCACAAGAAGCCAGTGTGCGACTGCGTGTGTAAGAGTTTTATTCAATTCGACCACTCGCACAATGGGCTCCCTGTTGTAGTGAACATAATTGGCCTCCTTGTGTGAGGTTGGGCGACAAGCTCCGCAGTACCTACAGTCATGCAGGTTTCAACCAGCTTGCAGGCCAATCCTGAAACAAGGCGATTCCGCCATTCTGCCTGTATCGTGCGCAATTGCTATCCCAATAAGGATCCACTGACCCACCATTGAGCCCTGCAGGCCAGCACATCCAATTTGGGAGGGATTGTGGATGATGAATGGCTAATGAGCAACCTGGTTGGACTATTTGTCGGAAGCTTGCTTGCTCGCCCCCCGCAGGCTTAGCACTGCAGCACGTGCAGAAATGCAGCGATCGAGCCAAATGGGCGAGCGATCGAGCGCCGCCTGCCGGATGTGGTGTATGTGGGGGGTGAGTTTTCGAACGATGCATAAGCAATGCCTTGGATGCGTCCGAAAGTGGTCGTGGAGTCATTGGTTGGAAGGCGCGGAGGGTCCGCAGCATGTACAATCCCTCCCCGCCGCCGAAGGGCCCCTTTCAGAAGTTGGTCCCATGTGGGGATTGATCAGTATTCCTGAATTCCTGGCCCCGAAATGACCTTTCACCCTTTGCCTCTGAGCAAAGACCTCGGTCCCACTTAGGTCCTTGCTTTTGTTTCGGCCTTGATGGATTTTGTTGGGGTGATTTGTAAGGGGCAGTATTTCAACCCCCAGATGACCATGGGTAACTTTCTCATTTAGTGGGACATATCATCTTTTTAGTGTTTTCCCCCAATGGTCATCCCATGTAAAGGACCTTTTGATCAACGCTCATGTCCAAAAAATATGCGGGAGATGTTTTTTTTTTTGCCCGGGATCTTGGCTCGATTTTCCGGTACGCAGCTTCTGCTTTAGCCTGGGGCTTCGGTGCTGTGCTTCATGCTGCAGGCGCGTTGCTCGAAAAATGGCCATGGGTCAAAATGCCGTACCCCCGGTGAACACCAATCCCCACTAAAATAGGCTATAATGGGTGGTGCACCTACCCTTTGACCCACAGCCAAATGTCATCAACCGCTTCGGGAGTTTGGAGAACCAATGAACAGGTTCCTCGTGAGGGAGCCAGAATCGGGGCAACTCATAAGGCAGCCTGCTCAGCTCTTTGTGATATGAATCGCCTGGAGTGTGAAGGGCTCCACTGGTGTTATTGGAGTGGCCGTACTGCGTGACTGAGGCCGCGGTTTCTCTATCAAATTCCTTCACACCTACAACCAGCATCCGTGAACGTTTTTTTGGGCCCGGATGGGGGAGCAGTACTTTCTGAAGCAGACCTTTCTTCTTTTCTTCACTGACCGTCCCCCAGTTCCAGGTTTGTGTCCAGTCTTAAGCCACTGGCTTCGACCAAATCGTTCGGTTGGATGTCCCACTCACGTCAGACCTCATGATCTCGCAGCTGGCTGGCATCTTCAGCCCCGGCCGCCGGGACGCCCACGGTCGGTTGAGCGACACTGGTCGTTGCTCGCGATTGGCTTGCGATTGATCGGGGGTCGAGTTGGGCTGTTGATTTTGTGGGTCCGCAAGCCGCGGGACGCCCGGCGAGAGGCACCTCGCCTCCTTGGGTGGTTTCTTGCTTGGACTTGGGAAGAGTCCGTCGACCTGCGAGGAGACAGCGTCCAACTCATTGCCTCCCCCTTTAAGATGATGATCTTGGGTCAATCACCGACATCTTTTGAGAGAGTGCCACATGGGTTAGTGATGAACATGTCGATGTGGGGCTGAGTTCCCAGTTCAACACTGGGAACAAGTCACATTTGATGTGTCAGTCGCACGCATGACTTGTCAAGAGCAACACGGCGATCTTAGACTGCCATGGCACATGGCACGACCCCTCACAGTGTGGATTTTTCTGAATTCTCCCATTCCATTGCGATGGAAAGTGTGGACTTATTTTGCCAGTGTGATGCTGCACCTTTGATGATCGTTCGTGTGCCTAGGCTGCAGCACTTTGGACTGTTCAATGGGCTTCTTAGGGAACACAGTCAGGCGGGATTAAATAATCCATTGCCCATGCCAAGCATAGGTTCGGCGGATCTAACGGCGTGAATCCGTGATCGCTGTTTTGGGACGACCCCCCCCCATTCCAAAGGTGAGCTTGGTCGTTGCTTGCTTGTTGTTTGCATCGTTGATTGCCGATTGCTTGGCCCATCTCCATGTCCACTCTGATTGGTATTGTCGGTTCGTCACCCTCAGCCTTCAACATCCTTCCGAGAAGGTCGCCAAACCTCAAGCGCACGACGTTGGCAACTGCTGTGATTGTGCTGTTTTTGCAGGTACCCCTTTGTCCCAGTTTAACCGGACACTTCAGGGAAACTGCCTTTGTTTATGGGGCCAAGCAGTCGGTCCCGTTCACCTTTTGCCTCTCCAGAGACAGGACCTCGGTCCCACTGCGGTCCTCGGTTTTGTTCTGGCCCGCGAAAGGGTCCCGAATCAAAATTCATTGCCACAAAATAGGGGACCCCCCAATTGGTGGTCTTCCTTTCGGGTTTTCCGTTAACAACCACCAACAAATGCGTACCCTTAAAAAAGCAGAACAGGGGACCCCTCCAAAAAAGAGACACCCACGGATCGCTTCAGAGGAATTCGGAGGACTCGCACCGCGCGGGGAACGCGGCTGAAGGCCGGAGCCGGTGCAGCGACGCCTCCGCCTCTGAGGGCGGCACACCCCGGGAAAGCCGGGGGCCAGGCAAGTGGGATCGACCGATGTGGCATCTACGTCTCCATTTGTTTTTGTAGTGGACACACCCCATGTTTTTGTTTGATCAAACGTGGAAACTGGCACTGTCCATTCCTTTTTTTTTGTGTAACACTGACACACCCCACGTTTGTTTGATCAACAGTGGCACTAGTGTTGAAAGTTGGATGATGATGTAGGTTCAGAATCATGTTTCGGAGTTCTGGTAGTTGCGGATGGATCCCGTGCGCTGCGCGGGCCGGGGATGGGGATAGGCATCAAAAAAAACTTATTAGGCATCAACAAAAAACTTATTAGGCATCAAAAAAAACTTATTAGGCATCAAAAAAAACTTATTAGCCATCAAAAAAACTCTTATGCTCATTCCTATGGGGGGAAGGAAGGAAGGAAGGAAGGAAGGAAGGAAGGAAGGAAGGAAGGAAGGAAGGAAGGAAGGAAGGAAGGAAGGAAGGAAGGAAGGAAGGAAGGAAGGAAGGAAGGACCCCCCCCCAACCACCCCGCTGATTTGTAGAAGGTTGACAGTGATTAACGCACCCTTTGCTGAATCATCACTTCTTCGAGCATCATGGGGGGGGCTCCGCCCCCCCCAACCCCCCCGCTGATTTTCAGAATGTTTGCAGAGATTACCGCACCCTTCGCTGAATCATCACTTCTTCGATCATCACCACCCTTTGTTGAATCACTTCTTCGAACATCATGGGGGGCGGCAGCCCCCCCCCAAACCCCCTGCTGATTTGTAGAATGCTTACAGAGCTTAGCGCACCCCTTGTTGAATCTTCACTTCCTCGAACATCATGGGGGGGCTGCCGCCCCCCCCAACCCCCCCGCTGATTTAATGCTGCGCCTGCGTCAAACTCACCGTATTGCGAAAGTGCTGCGCCTGCCGCGAAATTGGTACCTCTTGCGAAAGTGCTGCGCCTGCCGCGAAATCTGGACCGCACCTTGCGAAAGTATTGCACCTGCCGCGAATCTGTACCTGACCTTGCTAAATCTGCTGCTGAATCGCCTGACCTTCCTGCTGATTTGTAGAAGGTTGACTGGCACCCTTTGCTGAATCATCACTTCTTCGAGCATCATGGCGGGGGCTGCCGCCCCCCCCAACCCCCCCGCTGATTTTCAGAATGTTTGCAGAGATTACCGCACCCTTCGCTGAATCATCACTTCTTCGATCATCACCACCCTTTGTTGAATCATCACTTCTTCGAGCATCATGGGGGGGGCTGCCGCCCCCCCCAACCCCCCTGCTGATTTGTAGAATGCTTACAGAGCTTAGCGCCACCCCTTGTTGAATCTTCACTTCCTCGAACATCATGGGGGGGCTGCCGCCCCCCCCAACCCCCCCGCTGATTTAATGCTGCGCCTGCGTCAAACTCTGCACCGTATTGCGAAAGTGCTGCGCCTGCCACGAAATTGGTACCTCTTGCCAAAGTGCTGCGCCTGCGGACCGCCGAATCTGTACCTCACCTTGCTAAAGTGCTGCGCCTGCTGCGAAATCTGTACCTGACCTTCCTCACCCACCCCGCTGATTTGTAGAAGGTTGACAGTGATTAACGCACCCTTTGCTGAATCATCACTTCTTCGAGCATCATGGGGGGGGCTGCCGCCCCCCCCAACCCCCCCGCTGATTTTTGAGAATGTTACAGAGACCGCAGCAAATCATCACTTCTTCGCAACACCCTTTGTGAATCATCACTTCTTCGATCATCATGGGGGGGGGGCTGCCGCCCCCCCCAACCCCCCCGCTGATTTAATGCTGCGCCTGCGTCAAACTCTGCACCGTACCTTGCGAAAGTGCTGCGCCTGCTGCGAAATTGGCACCTCTTGCGAAAGTGCTGCGCCTGCCGCGAAATGTGGACCGCACCTTGCGAAAGTCCTGCATCTGCCGCGAATCTGTCCCTGACCTTGCAAAAGTGCTGCGCCTGCTGCGAAATCTGGCTGACCTTCCGAAAGTATTGCGCCTGCCACGAAATCTGCACCTGACCTTGCGAAAGTGCTGCGCCTGCCGCGAAATCTGCACCGCGCCTTGCGAAAGCGCTGCGCCTGCCGCGAAATCTGTACCTGACCTGCGAAAGCATTGCGCCTACCTTGCGAAAGTGCCGCGCGTGCCACGAAATCTGTACCTGACCTTGCGAAAGTGCTTCCTGAAATGAATAAAGTTTGTTTGATGCCTATAAAGTTCTTTTTTGATCCTCTGATTTTTCATTTTTCATAGTAAGTCAATGAGCATAAGTTTGTCTTGATGCCTAATAAGTTTTTTTTGATCTTTAGAAATAAGTCTTTTTTGATGCTTTTTTTTTTTGATCCCTCACCCCCGGGGATGGGCCTTATGTGGAAGAAAGTACCCAGCGACTTGGTTTTTGTTGTGGACACCGTGTCAGTCGGCCAAGAGTCAATGGATTTCATAGAGTTTAATAGGTTGGAACATGTTGGAAGACCCTCAACCATTTGTTGCTAGGTTTTCTACAACACCATTTAGGCCAGAAAGTGAGTTTTCTTTGGGGGGTGATTCAGTTTCTTGCTGGCCCGATTCTGAATTGTTTGCTACCCCTTTCCCCAGGCTCGATACGCTTCTTGGCCAGCGATTTGAATGTTGGGCAACTCGCTTGTGATTCAAGATTCCCAATCGAGAAAGCCAAAGCAACACTCACACATAGGTTCATGCAAACGCACGTATGTTCACACATACACACATACATGGATACATTGATACATAGATGCATAGGTACATGGATACATAGATACATAGATACATAGATACTTACATACGCAGATACATGCATTCAGGCATGCATACATACATAGATACATACAGACGTGCATGCATTGCATTCCATTCCATTATTCTACAGTACCTTACCTTACCTTACCTTACCTTACATGACATTACACTACGTTGCATCACATCACATCACATCACATCACATCAAAGCACACCGCACCACAGCACACCACAGCAGAGCACAGCACAGCACAGCACAGCACAGCACAGCGCAGCACAGCACAGCACAGCACAGCACCAGCACAGCACAGCACAGCACAGCATAGCGCATCACAGCACATCACATCACATCACATCACATCACATCACATCACATCACATCACATCACATCACATCACATTGCATTACACACTTACTTCCAGACAATCAGACAGGCAGACAGAGACAGACAGAGACAGACAGAGACAGACAGAGACAGACAGAGACAGACAGAGACAGACAGAGACAGACAGAGACAGACAGAGACAGACAGAGACAGACAGAGACAGACAGAGACAGACAGAGACAGACAGAGACAGAGACGGAGACAGAGACGGAGACAGAGACGGAGACGGAGACAGACGGAGAGAGGCAGACAGAGACAGAGACACAAGGAGACAGACAGAAACAGAGAGAGAGAGAGAGAGAGAGAGAGAGAGAGAGAGAGAGAGAGAGAGAGAGAGAGAGAGAGAGAGAGAGAGGGGGGGAGAGAGAGACAGAGCGACGGACAGACAGACAGACAGAAAGACAGACAGGCAGGCAGGCAGGCAGGCAGACAGGCAGGCAGGCAGGCAGACAGATAGACGGACGGACAGACAGACAGACAGACAGGTACACACATGCGCATATACATCCCTACACGCGGACATGCGTACGTACAACAACTGTGTTGCTCTGGGGCGGATCCTTATATATATATATATATATATAACATGTTTGACCCGCAGCCACATGGGCATCCACAAAGAACTTGGATGCGAGGGACCAACATCCACGTCACGCGCGGAGGTGGGCTGCAGCACCTGCAGGCGGCGCTGAACGCAGCCTTCGAGGCTCGGCCGCGGCCGCGGCTGTGGGGTGGTTGCGGCGGGCCGGGAGGCCATGAAACATGGACTAAACCCTGCGGTCCGATGGTGGTTTGACTTTGACCCATACCCATTTCCTCAAAAATGGCGGGTGATGCTCATGTTTCGGTTGGAACGGACAGGGAGTCTGACTGGAGGTTCTTCCTCCGGTGACATACGTCCAACGGTGTACTTCTTGTCCATCAATCCCACGTGAAGATTCATATCCACGACCCATGGTGGGGTTGTTTCCCTCTTAGGGCGCAACATGACACCAGGGGAATTGGGAATGATCCGTGAGCGCCCGACAGCCGTTTATGTTCCCGCTCCCAGGTTCGCCCCCCCGCACCCCGGCCAGAGAGCCAACCCTGAACCAACCCCGCCAGCAGACAATTGCCCACTAACGACAAGTTTGTAGGAGATTCTAGCATGTCGGCCACTGGTAGTGAAGAACTTATGGGAGACTTTCTTCTGTGTAGGCAACAAGTGTTCAAGCGACGGCTATGGGTGTCTGGCGGATCTGGGACTGGTTCCGGCAGGGTTCCAGGCAGGTTCCACGGAGTTATGCGAGGCTGCAGGTTTCTTTGCACTTGTTTGGGAAAGAATTTTAGGCGAAGCTGCTGGAGATAGTCCATAGCGAGATTTGGCCTGCCTTGCTTGGATGACCATTCTCATCTGTGTTTGAGCGAAACTTCTAGGATTGGTTTTCAAAACACCATGCCACAGCCTGCGCGTTTCCCAGGGAGGGTCCAGCTTCCGGAGCGAAGGCGCCCGGGGATGTTAAAAGGACAAAGGACTATGGTACCCCAAAAAGTTATGTTAGAGGATAGAATGTAGTTGTGAACATGAGGGTCGCAAGCTTTGAGACAGGCCTCTTCTTGGAGGTCAGACAGAGTTGCCAGCCGATGGCGAACGCGACGCCAAGCCAGGCCGAAGACATGGGCCTCCTGACTGATACCGCGCGCTCAGCTTGCCAAGTTGTTGGCTCAGTGGTTTTTTTGGCGGCCATAGTTGTGGGAAATTGGCTTTTGGAACCACTTTCTGTGACACCAGCAAATCCCATTCAAGCTGATGAAGTGATGATGGTATCGGCGGCCGGGAAGGTTCCTTGGACTGCACTCTTCGCGTGCTTTCTGTTGATTTTTGGAGGCAACGAAGCTTTAAGGCCTTGAAGTGCAGCAGAGGCTTTGGGATGCAGCATCGTGTTGTTTCTCGTACTGAATCTCAAGGGTCTTAATGTTCGGGCAGTGAGTTCTTCGATGAAACTCAAGCCATGCCTTCTTGCAATGCTGGTGTGGCTGGCGCCTGGTCGAGATACTCCGGGGGCAACCTGTTGTGGCGCTGGCTGAATGCCGCGGACAACCTGTGTTGGGTGGAGGGCGAAGCAACACGCAAGGCCTCTCCAGCCCTCATCACCCACGAGATCGGGATGCCTTTGACTTGGGGGACCCGTTGGTTTTAACGTCATGGTTCCAACTCTTGAAACTCGCATCCGGAGGCCTGGGCCGGAAGCCTGGCATGCCGCGTCAGGTCCCGGACGGCAGCGAGCCGCCGGAGACCGAGGCGTGGGGGGGGCTGTGCTTGCATCTACGTGCACATGTCGAGAAACAGCCAGGCAGTGAACCCTGCATTTCAAAGTGGCCTTTTCCTACACGACATTCCCGACGTGAACGCAGTGTGGCTTGCGGGATGGAGTTGAACTTGTTTAGCTTTCCTTTCGGCTTTTCACACTTCCCTTGAGGGAGCCCCAAACACACCACCCCCCAAACACACCACCCCCCAAACACACACACACACAACCCCTCGGAGAATGCTTAATTACAGCAACACTTGAGGTGTTTTTTGGGTGGTGTGTTTGGGTGGTGGTGGGAGCGGTTCATGACAGTTGGCATGTGTTTTGTTTGGCTGCATCGCAGGCCAAGGCGAGCGGCGAAGCTGGCCATGCTGGGGCCTTGACATGCACAAAGGGCAGTCACCGGTAGACTTTGTTGCTTGCTGGTCAGCGCTGAACATAGCGCGAGTGTGCTTGATGGAAGCAGGCTCGCCATGACTTGAATGGGAGCGATGTGCCTTGCTGCAAGGGAACCGCAGGTGCGTTGCCTCGGGTGTATGCCTTCTGGATTGTCAGTTTTGGGTTTTGGGAAAGCTGTCAGGCTCTAGAGACGGAGCAGGAGGCCTGCAGCGAGCAGGCGCCTCTTGCGGATGAGGAGAAGGCGCGAGGGCACGGAACAAACAGGTATGCTGTATGCTGATATGCAAGTTGAACTCTTGGCCATGCTGGGGTGGTGGTGGTGGGTGGTGGAAGGTGGGTGGTGGGTGGTGGGTGGTGGGTGGTCGTTGGTTGGTGGTTGGTGGTTGTTGGTTGTTGGTTGTTGGTTGTTGGTTGTTGGTTGTTGGTTGTTGGTTGTTGGTTGTTTGTTTGTTTGTTTGTTTGTTTGTTTTTGTGTTTGTGTTTGTGTTTGTGTTTGTTGGCTGGCTGGCTGGCTGGCTGGCTGGCTGGCTGGCTGGTTGGTTGGTTGGTTGGTTGGTTGGTTGGTTGGCTGGCTGGCTGGCTGGTTGGTTGGTTGGTTGGTTGGTTGGTTGCTGGGTGGGTGGTTGGGTGGTTGGGTGGGGGTGGTGGTTGTTCTTGGTGTTGTTGGTGGTGGTGCTGGTCGTGGCCGTCGACGCCGCCGTCGTCGTAGACATTCCAAGCACTGTTTGTTGTGATAGAGCAGGCCCTGCCCTGCGACGACGACCAGTCCGACGAGGACATGCCAGAGGTGGCCGCCGGGCGCTACGGGGAAGGGCGGCGGACTTGAATGGGCGAGCGCAGTTGTTGAGATACCATGTGAGTTTTTTATTGGACTTGCAATGTGCTTTTTGCCAGATCTAGAGTCAGGAAGGACGGGCCCGGCGTGTGTCAGGCCCCAGAGACAGAACAGGCAGCTTGCAGCGAGCAAGCGCCTGCAGATGAAGAGGCGCAGGGACGGGACCATGCTGTGCTGGCATGCAGACGTGGTTTCTGGGCTCCTTGTACCTGTGGATTGCTTGCAGCTGTCTGCAAGTTTGAGATATCCGACGCAACATTTTGTTGATGTTCTGTCATTGCCACGGATTTGCCATTCGTAAGAAGCGTCTGGTGACGTGCACCCCATGTTAAACTGTGAAGTGTCTGGATATTGATTGAAGGTACTGCGGGCGTAGCCCATGTGTCTTTATTTCTCAAAAGGAAACGAAAGGGGGATGGTTCTATTTGCTCCCTGTTAGGTTTTAAGTGACGCACCGAATGCGAGGGTGCGAACGTGGGCATTTGTCGTGTGTCATGAGCGGCAGAAGGCCTTGCCCTGTGGCTTGTTTGGGGCGAGCACGTCAATGGCTTGACCAGTTCGACCTGTGAATGGCATCCGTCCGTGCAGAGTACAGGGGAAGCAGCTTTGGGTGGAACAGGCCAGCCCAATAGCTCTTCTAAATACTGTCCTGAAAATGTATGCCAAGGCAATTTGTTCAGGACTGACGCAGGGTAGCGTGTTGGCAGGGAAACCGGAGCACGACTCACTTGGTAGAACCCGCCATGCGTTCCCAGAAGTGTTAGGAATTGGTAGAAGCACTTGAATTGCTTGCTGTAGATGTTGTCTTGTCTTCCCCGGGAGCCTTTGCAGAGGTTCAGCTTTGAGCGCTTCGGTTGCCGCACGTGCGGCTGCACCGCGCCTTTGGGACCTCTGGCTTTCTCCCCTCACGGTTTGCCGCGCTCGTCTCTGCACGCACGTCCTCTTCGGTCGCATGAGACCCGAGGCGCAAGGCGAAGGCCCCGCGAAGGCCAGGGGCCTTGGAGCGCATGGGGCTTGGCGGGGGGGCCGATTTTCGCGCTCCCACTTTGGGCGCGAAACCCGAAAAACGAACCACCGAAACGCCCTTTCTTAATGGACCGCGTTGCATGTCATATGTGGCAAATCGGCATGGATCGAGATGGCAAGTTGCAGGTGATCCGACCGGGGTCGCTGGGCGTGCCTTCAGGCGCTGGAGACAGAGCAGGAAGCTTGTGGCGAGCCTCCGGACGCAGAGGCACCCGTGGTGGATCCACTTTGGCTCATGCTTTGCTGGTCGAGGTGTCTCCTGACACGCTGTGGTTGAGCTTGTTGGCTCAAGTTGGCTCACACATGGTAGACAAGTGTGGCGGTTCCTCCGGGATGGCTGCAGAGTCTTCCGCGAACGAAGGCAAGGATCAGACCGAGCGTGAGGACCAGAAGGAGTGCGCTGTGGTTGAGAATGAGGGAAGTGAAGATAGTGAGGCTGAGTCATCCGGCTGGAGCGTGGTACGCAACCAGCCTGCAGATCCCGCAGACCATGCAAGCAAGAGCCTGCCTGGTATTCGTCCGCACGCTTTGTGCCTTCTCGCAGCTTGCGTTCTCCTCATCTCGGTGGCATACGGATGCCGTAGGGATTGCGCAGGCGACTGGTCAGAGTGGAGTGAATGTTCAATCTCTTGTGGAGGTGGCGACCAGACCAGTCTGTTCACTGTCCAGCAGACGTCTCGCTTTCATGGCGGAGAGTGCCGATACTATCACAACGAGGAGCGAAAGAAACCCTGCAATACTCAACCATGCCCGCGAGATTGCAAGTTAGGACACTGGCAGAAGGGAGACTGCAGCGCACACTGCGGAGGAGGTACTCGAAACAACACTCGCTCATTGGATTCTGAAAGCGAATTCGGCGGATATTGTCCTCCGCCATATTCAGCAGAGCGCTTCAAAGAAGAGCCGTGCAATACTCGGCCCTGTCCTGATGAGTTAGTGGAAGCCCTTGGCTCTGCACTCTCGGATACTGTTCAATTCAGGGACGAGACACATCGCCAAACTTCAATGTTGCAGAAGATGACACATCATTTGTTGAATCACATCCCGCCTGTCACTTGCTCTGCCAGCATACGCTCTCAGCATGCGAAAGCGCTGGAAACCTGCCAGCAGCACAACAAGATCGCAGAACAGGCGCCCAAGCTTGCCTTGCTTTTGGACGAGGGCTATGATGCTTGCGAGGACGCTGCAGCCAGTGTGAAAGTGTCCGTAGATGCATTGAATCATCACCTGCCTATTCTGTTCAGCCAGACATGCCGAGGTGAAGTTGAAGGGGCAAACAGTACGCTGTCAGATGTGCTGATGCCCCTGATCAACTCAACATTAATTCACCTCGACAAGTGCCGCAGCCCTTACCGGACCTTCGCGAAAGGTCTGATGAATTTGAAGCCTCAACTGTTGGGGCTTTGGCAAGATCCGAGGGAGCGAGCAGACTTCCTGCACCATGAGATGGAGAAGGCAACTGGTCGCAAGGACCAGCTTTCCTCCGACCTAAGCGAGTTGGCTCAGGAGCTTGCGGATATTTCCAAGAGAAAAAGCCAGGCCTTGCAGGAAGTACAGAAACACGAGGCAGAGCTACAGCAGCTTCGCAAGAACCAAGGAAGGCATGTGCAGGAGAGAATGGAAAAAGCACAAGCAGCAGGGGACCGAGCAAGGCAGCAGCGCGCTCATGCTTCCAATCTCGATGAGTCCGCTCAAGGCAAGTCCCGCCATCAGAGCTTCATCAACAATCTCAACATAGAACTACGAAAGGCCAAGGATTTCGAAGAGAGGAGCTCCGACTTGCAACAGTCTTTCGAGGTGGCCCAAAGGGAGTACCGCGACGCACTTGCGGAAAAAGAGAGGGCGCTGCAACGCGCGGAAGACAGGGTCAAGAGTCACGAAAAAGAGTATCAGCAGAAGCAAGGCTCGCAGACGAAGGCAGAGGAGCACAAGCAGGAAGCGGACAAGATCCTGGAGATCTTGTATGAGATCAAAAGGAATGAGAATGTGAGAAGCTTGTCCGAAGGGTTGAGTTTGGACAGCGTAAATGAAGCTACTGCCAGTTGGAGATCTTCCGTGACTCGAATCAAGGCCAATTTGGATTTGGATGGTGTCCAATCGTATATGAACGCGATCCAGGGAGAGGTCAGCAGAGCAGGAGAGCAGGCGTGTGAGAGAGCCAGGCAGCATGTCAAGAGCATTTTCAAGTCTGCCATAGGGAACAAATCTGCAGTCAACAAGAATGAAGCAGACGTGACAGGCTGATGACAAACACAGCTTTTTGCAGGCAAGAAGTGATTTCAAGTACAGTTGTACAGTTGCCACAAGCTAATCTTAGTAATTGTAGCTACAGCAAAATTCCTCATCAAGCAGCTGGAGGAAAAAAAACAAGATACATTCTATCACTTTCTCGTTGGCGCGGCTTTGTACCGGACGGGGTATGAGAGCGCAGGGGGCTCATGGAAGGAAAGGGTATAAACACCACGCGTGTGCCAAGCCCTGCACGTGTCAAGTTGCGACAGAACAGGCTTTGCCCTTTGACGACGACATGTCCGATGAGGAGGTGCAAGGGTGCCGGACTTGAGCCGGCGAGCGTGGTTTTCTGGGCAAAGTCCTTGAAGGATGGACACTTTTGGGATCTGGTGGCCAAACAAGTGTTCAGATTTGAGAGATACAGCTCAGTTTTGTCGCCAGGCGGCTGGTTCACCGCGCCAGGCCCCAAAGGCAGAGCAAGCGGCCAGCGAGGCGCCTCTCGAGGCAGGGGCAGGACACAAAAAACGTATTCAACTGGCACTCGCGTTCCCAGTTTCTGGAGGTTGTACGCTTAGGACTCTCCCCTTGTGTGGGAGTCGGCAACTTCTGATTTCGTTTTTGGTTCCTCAACTCGTGGCTTTGGCTTTGCATAGGAGACCTTCTTCAGGTTGTCGCGTGGCTGTCAGGCAGAGAGCACTGGCGACCAAGTGCCCGCAGAAGATGCTGAGGCAGCGCCCACGCTGGAGTCAAGGTAGGCTCAAACAGGAGCGGAGGAACAACCCTCGCTGGCTCTTTTGAGGTCTGTGGTAGTCTTGGGTTCTTGGAAGGAAATGGCTTGGAAGGACTTGCTAGCCCGTGGACCGCGCTGTACCGTGCCGTGGGAGCGCAGGTTCTGCCCTGCGATGACGACATGTCTGATGAGGCCGGCCGTGGGCGCGTCAAAGTAGTTGGTCCACGGCTCATATTCCGCCGTGGATCAAAATGCAATTTCGCGTGTTTTTACCCCTTCGGGCAGCTGCAAACACTGATATTGCAGCACTGTACCCATGCCAGCCAGATGGTAAGAACACCCGCTCACGCGCACCCGCTCAGCACCGCACGCATGCCAGCCAAATGGTAAGAACACCCGCTCACGCGCACCCGCACCCATGCCAGCCAAATGGTAAGAACACCCGCTCACGCGCACCCGCTCAGCACTGCACGCAGGCCAGCCAAATGGTAAGAACACCCGCTCACGCGCGCCCGCTCAGCACACATGCCAGCCAAATGGTAAGAACACCCGCTCACGCGCACCAGCTCAGCACTGCACACATGCCAGCCAAATGGTAAGAACATCTGCTCATGCGCGCCCGCTCACACCCGCTCAGCACTGTACCCATGCCAGCCAACTGGTAAGAACACCCGCTCACGCGCACCCGCTCACGCTGTGCCCATGCCGGCCAAATTGTAAGAACACCCGCTCACCAGTGGAACGCCTAGCGAGTTTTTGCTTGCCCTGGAGGCGCTGCTGTGACAAGGAACGCGGTCGGTGTTTGATTGGGAAGAAGCAGTGCATCGTGCCGGTTTGAAAGTAGTTCACGAGGAACAAGACCCTTGTTTTCATTGGGAAAAATCACTGAAAACAGCAACCCTGCTTGGGGTGGACGTGTGAACAGCACGGACATCACTTAAGGCTTCGGTTCATTGGGATTTCCCATCGGAAAGCACGTGCTATTCTTGACTTGTGCTACTGAAATCGTGTTTTGACTCACGGCGGAATATGAGCCGTGTTCCTAGTTGGGGTGAAAAGGGGTCATGAGCCCTTGGATTTTTGTACGACTCGTTTTCGTTGGTTTCCTTGGCGCCGCAGGTCGAGGGCGAGAGGAGTCCCGAAACCCGGGAGGTCCCAAACGCTGCCGATCGCTCGGGAAGCACGAGATGATTCGCCGAAATCACTCCAAATGCAGCAGAGCTGCAATCAAGCTCGGGCCATTGCAGGCTACAGCTAGTGACTAGTTCGCGGAGGTCCACCAAAGCTTGAGTTTCAAAGAGCAGGGCAATTGCCAATCAGACGTCATGTCATGGGGAGATTTAAAAAGGGTCAAGAGGCTGCTCTCGTGGTTCGTTGCATGCTTGTGGGGTACGTGCTTCTCCTGGCTGACATGGACAGCATGGGGGTGTGGCTCGTATCAACTTGTACTTCTGCTTGGTCGCCCTCAGCCTTGACAAGCCGCAACTCGACATGATTTCCATCCAGGGAGTCCCTTGTTTGACTTGATTGGCAGCCTGGGGTTTAGAACACCGGCGATCCAAAGACGGGTTCCACAGGTTGGGGACAAGTTGGAACAACCCCCCGATCACACATCCGTTGAACCTCTAGCAAGGCATGCCTGGACTTTGGGAAGGCCATGATTTTGTTTGCTTTTTCCAATCCTCTCAGGAACTGAGGAGTGAGGACCCCCCGTTTCAGGGCATCTCAAGATCTGGCCAAGGGAACGTGGTCCAGCGATCGAGGCCGAGACCCGCCCGGCCCGTGGGGAAGGCGAGGTCAATGGGTGGAAGGGGGAGGGGAGGGGAGGCAAGCGAGGGAGCTATGATTTACCAGATTGTAACTGGGGTGGACTTAGGGTGCATTTTACATTTTACCAGTGACTCAAAGTGAAGCAAACATTAAAATATGCATTCCACAACTGGGCCTAACTATAATCATGTATTAATAGTTATGTTTGCAAACCGGCCACAGACTCCTGTTTCCTAATCGTAATTTGGTCAGTTCGTCCCATGTCATTCCCCTTTACTACCAACCAGGGGAATTGATTGAGTGCGACAAAGGGCCAACCAATACAAGCACCTGGTCTCAGTAGGGGCGGCTTCAGAATCCAAGTCCATGCTCGAGACATGGCGGGATGGACCAAACAAGCACGACCAGACCGGCCCAACTCAACGATAGACTTAGCCAGTGACTGGTGTGCAGTTGTTGGTTCAGGAGGATGATGTTGCGAGTCGGTGTGAGGCAACTAGGGGATCGATCGCCTTCGGTTCGTTGAGTTTGGCGCAAGGCGCTCTAGCCACGCCAAGGTGGGGCGTCGCGGCGGTTGCACATGTTTTCGTGAAGTGTAAGGACAAATTGGCTCTGATGTTCATTGATGTTCAGTGGCGCAATGCATGCATGCAGGCAGGCAGGCAGGCAGGCAGGCAGGCAGGCAGGCAGGCAGGCAGGCAGGCAGGCAGGCAGGCAGGCAGGCAGGCAGGCAGGCAGGCAGGCAGGCAGGCAGGCAGGCAGGCAGGCAGGCAGGCAGGCAGGCAGGCAGGCAGGCAGGCAGGCAGGCAGGCAGGCAGGCAGGTAGGGACAGACGGGCGTACGGACACATTGTTTTCAGTTGCAAGGAGGCACATCCTCTTGAAATGGCCTCTATGCACTCCCACCGAGCTGAGCGGGAAACCAGGCGCCAATCCGTGGCCAGCAAAGTGGCCCAGTGCAAGGCGGGCGGGGGTGGGTGCTCCTGTAAATCGGCTTTGTGGGCCTTGCTGGGCTGTTGAAGGAACGAGCAATTAAAGTCTGCTACTTGCTGAGGTTGGGTCCTTGTTGACCCTTGAAGAACAGGTTTACCACTCAAGCTTTAGCTTCTACCAGCTGTGCTCACCGTTGCAATCTCAACTGTTCGGCAATGGAAACTTGGGTAGTCCTGGAAAAAAACCAAAACATAGACAAGTGCGGCCACGTTGGTCTGTGATTTTGGGGCGATTCCTTGGACGCCAGGTGTCGGAATTGAAGGAAAGCCGGGGTTTTCCATTTGACGCCGATTTTTTGCTTCTTCGGATCGGGGGCACGAAACGCGCGAACGGTTCGCCATGTGCGCCCGACCTTTGCCGCCAGGCGCGGCTCGCCGAGCTGCAAGCCATGAAGGCGCAAAAGCTGGAGGAGGAGGCCGGGGGAGTCCCGCGGTGCTGGCGGCGGCGGTGGTTGCATCTTTTGTGGCTTTGTTTTCCAGAGGCTCTGAGAATCTGACATGTTCCTGTGTCAGATTTTCGAAAGCCAGATCTTTCGAGGGTTCGACTTGTCCAGCTTGTGGGGAGCCTGCAGAGCACACCCCTTGGCCCCTTGTGTACATACGCAAAAACAAGCGATCGCACACATGGGGTCTGCCAGATAGCTGTGTATACCAATGAGTCGGAAACAAGCAAATGTTCGCTTGGCATCGGCCGCCTTTGAACTTTCACCATGGAACACATAAAATACACAAACACCTCGATCCCTAAATCATTCGAATGCTCCAATGGGGTTGCCGGGGTACTTTAAAACTAACCTAAGTCATTTACTTTGGACCAGGCCATGAGAGCTTCTGTCTCAAAGCAGACACCCCCCAGAAAGCGGCTGAGGTCTGTAAAATGCCCCGTAGAATCCCCTTTCGACACCCACCAGAAGGAACACCGAAAACCCGGTTCGGCTCCCCCCCCAAAAAAAAGAACCCGACGCCCCGCCCCTCGCCCCGCCTTCCTCGTCGTTGGGGGAGCCGATGGGTTTGGTTCGGAGGACTACATGGGCGCCCACGAGGCCAAGCAGATGATCCAGGACCAGGAGGCCGAGCTCCAGGCGGGGGGTTTGGGGACAGCGGAAGTGGATGGGTCAGGCGGCGGGCTTGGTGGGAGTCAAAACACCACGTGGGGCGGCATTTTCACCCATTGGTTTTCCTAACCATGTATTTTTTGCTCAACTATTTTTGCCCAACGATTTGCTTGGCCAATTTGGGTTGGACGTCGTTTTAATTACTTTGCCACGTTGGGAATTTGTATTCCATCTCCGGTCAACCTTGGTGTGACGTTTTAGCAGCATCACATCATGGGGATCAAAAGGTCCTTTTCATGGGGATGACCATGAAGGTTTCCCCACCAAAAAAGCATGAACAAGTGTCCCAGATGGAAAACAGTTAGAGGCCATGGTACCATTTTGGGGTAGGTGCACCACCCATTTCAGTCTATTTTAGTGGGGCTTGGGATGTTCACTGGGGGCACGATTTGGATTTTGACCCAGGGCCATTTGGGGGCCCATGGTCCGGATGCCCCAGTTCTTTTCCTGAACTTGGGCCTTCCAGGCATTGAGACTGGAGGGCACGCCCACGCCTGCGAGGGCCGGGTTCCCAGAGGTGCATCTCCGTTTTCTTCCGGCATCCATTTTTTTCTCCCCTTTTCGAGGTGACCATGGCTGTGTCTCTTCCCTTTTGCTTGTCAAGAAAAACAGAATTCCAAGAGAAGCGGTTGTTGCTAACGAGGAACTAGGACCCATCAGAAATCTGGGGCCCACATAGACGATTTTTGCGACCCCGGCACGGAGTTTGTGTCGCAGCTCCATGATACTGCTTGCGGGGAAGAGCAATGATAAGGGGGGACCGCCACACCCCTTGAGGTCGGGAGGTGTTCAGACCCACGTTTGTTTTGATGAGATTTTCGCTTGCGGTTTGCGTGGAATCTGACAATTGCATTTCTAGACAAGTCTCTTTGTGGGGATTTCAATCGATGGTTGACGGTCTCAGTGAAGGCCTATGGAGAAGATCATGTGCCATTTGATGCCGTCCCTCCTGATGCAGAAAAACGAGCTGCCAGCAGATTCAGAAACCCGAATCACAAACTGATGAGACGAAGCAGAAGCTGGGAGGGACAAATCAGAGGCACGAATCAGCAGAAGCACGAATCGGAAGCAAAAACATGAATGAATCGGAAACTAAAAGGGGCTTACTCAGGGACAAAATGAGTCGAATCACAAGTGCCGCATCGAGATCATCGGATCATCGGGATGGTAGGAATGGTTAGGAAGGGCTGGGCAGTGGGTCGGCAGTGGTCATAGTTGGCACCCTTGGGATTTTCGGGGGATTATAGGGCTGGTCAGTTTGGTCAGGATGAAGTTGGCACTGTGTCTAGTTTTGAGATGACCCGGACTTTTTTTCTGGCTTCTTTTGATTCATGGTATTTGTGATTTGTGCTTCCAATTGGCAATGTTCGGTTCAACCCTCCAGGTTCCAATTCCACCCTCATGGCTTGTGATTCGTTTTGGATGCTGCAAGTGGTTCCGAAGCAACTCTTACTTCTACCATCAGCACTCACTGGGATGCCCTGAAGTGATTTTGGCATATGTTAAGGTAGGATTCCTTTCGAACAGACGAAGCTCCCCCAAGCGTGGGGCCGGTTTTTGCCTTCGTTTGCAAGCTCCCCGGGCGTTTCGATGTGCCGATTTTTGACCCAGGCGGCGGGGGAGGCACCCACGACTTGGCGCCCCGCAGCGCCAGGCTTCATGGAGCTGCCGGGGGAGGAGAGTGCGGGGTGGGCGCGTTGCTCGTGTTTTTTCGTTGAAAAGGATCAGGAAAGAATGTGCGTTGTATATACCTATGATCAACAACACGCTTGTATGTATGACTTTGCACAATTGCACCTACCTCGATTCGAAGCCATGTGGCGCAAGAGAGCCACCCTCGCGCGAGTGTGTAGCTTGACAGAACCGCACGTTTGCCATCTACGAGCGACAGCGGGTGTGACCCAACACCGCAGCACCCCCAACAAAAGTTCTGGGTTTTTCAGGTCGGTTCCCTTTTGGCTGCTTCAAGCCGCCGGCTTTTCTCGGACGGGGACGGGGAGAGAGCCCCACCCATGGAGACCTCCGG